TTTTTTTTYCCCTCCCCACACTTTCTCTGAGTTTTTCCCGAGTTTCGGCTGCACGAACCGGAGCGCGGCGTTCGCGTTGGCTTTTCTGCGGCAGCCAAACCGGCSGGTGGAAGCTCTATAGCAATTGTGTCTTTACAAGTTCTGTCAGGTTCCCTCAGGTAATAAAAGCGAGGAAAGTGGAACGGCTCGGAATCTTTTCCAGGGAGGAATTTTGGGGAGGGGGATCGGCTCCTCCCGGGTCCGGCCGGGGTGGGCGCGGGGGGCTCCGGGATGGGCGCTTCCCCCGAGCCGCGATTCTCCTCCCGCTGCTCCCGGAGCGCTGGGAAACTGCGAGAAATCCCTACGGGAGGAGCGGCCCCGGGGTCAGCGCGGTGCGGACGGACGGGGCTGGCGGGGGATGCGCCGGGGAAGGGCCGGGAAGGGTCCCCGAATCGGCTGCGGCACCGGCAGAACCGCGGGCRGCGACCGGAGAGCYSGAGGTGTCCCCGCGRGGTGGGCAGGKATGGGGACAGGGATGGGGACACGTATAAGGACAGGGATRAGGACAGGGACAGCCGGATCCCGCCCAGCGAGGCCCGCAAGTGGCGAGAGTCAAACCAGCTCGGCCGTTCCCATGCAAATAACGGGCTGGAAATGATAGATTTTACGTTAGGTAAAACAGCTTTATTGCAGCAAAAGTAAGATCCCGCTAATTATAAAGTCGATAAAAGTAGCGGTGGTGTCGATTGATCCCCGAATAAAGCAGTTCATTAATATGTGCATGAGAGCAGGGCGGCCCCACGGCTCAGGAGCAGCCTCAGCCACCCTCTCCCTGCCCCAAATAAACTCCTCACATCCCACCAGCTCTGTTTAAAGCACATCTGCTTCAGGCAGAAGTGCCCAACGGCCTCGTGCAGGTTTTTGGGGTGTGTGACACAGCGGGAATTGCAAACCTTCACCTGGCCCTGGGTGCATCTGTCTTCGAGATATTGTAATAAAAATCCAGGAAAAATGGGCGTTTGTCCTATCAGGGAAGGTGCTTGGACGGTGTAAGGGAACTGTGAGGTTTTTAGCGCAGCTGTGATTAAAATAAAATTGTYGTAACGGGATGTTTTTGGGCAGGAATACTCACATTCCTGGTTTCCTTGGACTGGAATGCCTAACGAACCTACAGGCCAACAGAAGTTGGCCAGGACTCTTCTSTTTCTATTTTATTTCTTAGAGTGTCTGAACCTCTGTAAAACCCTGTAGATTTCCCAAAATTTAATTCCGGATATTTCACRAGCCAGCCAGCGCACACGGATCTGGAGATAAGATTTTTGTGTGGGATTGAGGTGGAGACGCCTGTGAAGGGGATTTGGAGAAGGGATCCCATAAACCCTGCAGGAAGCAGTGAACACCTGTGGTGGGTGCGCAGCAGGACCCGACACAGATCCTGCGGGTGAAGGAGCAATTTGCACATTTTRTTGTCTCTCTGCAGCAGCAGGGATGAGCTGAGCGGGGCAGGGAACAGCCARACCCCTGACAGGGATCTCCAACCCCACAGATCCCTGCCTGGATCCCGGTTCTGCRCAGAACCGCGCTGGAAAGGAGAAGGGAGGAAAACCCCGTGCTTAAACCTGTGTGAAAACACTCTGAGCCCTCTGTAGGAACCTGCTGTGTGTCGTGGCTCGCTCTGCGCTCAGCTTTGCTCCGGGCTGAGGTTCCAGAGCTGCATTTTGGAGGAGCAGCAGCGGCAGAGCGCTCGGTCTGTGCGGTCTGCAGCCTTTGGAGAGAGCTGCGGCCACGAACGAGCAGCGTGTTGTGCCAACAGTACACGCTGTGCTCTCTGCTGCCCGGTAAATATTGATACCGGGCCAGTCCTGGGGCTGCTCCCGTTTCCTTTGCCCTTCAATTCTCCGTCCCTCGCTGTTTCTGAGCCCGATTTCCCTTCCCGTGAGGTGAAAGTGCTCCTCAAAGGTCACCCATGGGAATGTTTAAGGAGTAAAAGCAGCAGATCTGCTCATTTTCGGGGTTCTGGGGTGGGCAGCAGAGTTCTGCAAGGAGCTGGAGAGTTTGTGCTCGTTTCTGACCTTTCCTGTGTTGCAGCAGGGACTGGCCCTGGTTTCTCTGCAGGATCCCACAAGCGCTCGCAGCGCTGGAGCTGTCACTGCTCACAGCTCACACCTCACACCGCGCCCAGCCTTCCCTCCAGCTGCTCCTCAGGCAATTAAGTTGGTGTGAGTGAAGGAAATCCTCAGCATTTTCACCACCCCGGGTCTCAGTGCTCTGGYGRCAGATTGTGGGGTTTGGGGTGYGTTTGTGCTGCTCCTGRTTCTGGTGARYGGCCCCAAYTCSSGACGGCAGAGCCACAGYTCCCATCACCTTCCTCAGCKCTGYGGTAGCACTGTGYCTGCTTTGACAAGGTAAAGAACCACCCAAACCCCAACCCTTGCCCATTTGGGGCTGATTTTGGGTTCGGTGGAAAGGYAGTGAGTGCTGAGTGCTGCAGGATCTGCCGAATCATCGGTGTGTGCATCAGCGGAGCTCTGCCCACCCCGGCTCCTGGGCTGGGCTGCAGGGGCAGCCTCTCCTCCAGCAGCGCTATTTCTGTGCTCACAGGAGCCTCAGCTTTTCCTGCAGAGGGAAGGGAAGCTTTTCTCTGTTAAGGGAAAAATGCTTGGGAATGTTATCCTTCCTAAGAAAGGGTTTGTGGCCTTTGCACATCAGACAMTCTGCTCATTAAACACCCACGTGCTCTCAGCAGCTTCCCTTTACACAGGTAAAAATCACCCAGGGAGAGATTCCGGCAGAGAATCCCAAAACAGGGAGGGGAAAATGCACAGGAAGAACAAGAGGCAGTTTGATTTTCTCAGCAGCTGCAGCCACCCTGAAAGCACCGAGGTCCCCTGCACCTGAATTGTCACTCCTGGTCTCTGTGAAATGGGAATTTTGCATAGAACTCAGTGCTGTAGAGTGAGGCTGACCCCACAGCTGCTGCTCTCTGTGAAACCCAACCATGGCAAACCTCCAGCCCCTGCCGTGCCCTGGAGCTGCAGGGAGAGGCTGACAGCCCCACACTCTGTGGAACAGGGGAAACATTCCATCACTGC